CCTTGCCGTAGAGCACGACCCAGCAATCTTCCTGGCAGTGGTCACTGAACAACTCTGCTCATCTCATGCATTGTCATGCCGCATTCCATGCACAATGAATGCCTCTGGCTAGACGAGGATAATATGGTCTGTGTTGGCATCATGTTCATCCCAGCATGACGCGGACAGGGGAAGCAAATGGAAGCAGTGACCAATTGCCTTGGTGTTGTGCTTAGCAACTTCCTCCATGGTGAAGACCTACCAACGATGCTGGAAACCGAAAGCACGGTAGGCGCTGCATGTCTTGAGTGTCACACAGCTGTAAAACGGACACTGTGCCTTGTCAGAAGCCATGGCTACCAAGAGCGGTTACCAGCGGATGTCGGGAGGCTGAACTGTTGAAACGGCTACGCTGTCATACAAATCCTACGGTCCTACTGCAGGCGTCGTGTATCAGTGGACAACAGCCATGTCTAAAGCGGCCATGTCCACAACAACTGTCACAAAACAATGGCGCCTCATCCTCCGCCACAACGGCAGACACACTGAGCCGACACTTGTGGATGACTTTCACTGCCCTCTTCACTCCTGGCGCAAACGTTGACGGCACGGTCTCCTCCAGCAGATCTGACGACTACATATTGGCAGGGTTGCCTACAAAGTGCCACGTTAGAAGTCCCTTTGGCTTCCCCAAACAATTACTGTAACTGTACTGTCGGAATTTGGGTGCTGTTCAAGTCAACGTTCACCACTGCCATATTATGCGTACGGTCAAAGCCTCCAACAATGTCGGATACTCGGAGGGTGTCCTCCTGCATCCTCCTAAATATATTTTTTGATGTCTGTCACATGTCAAAGCTGTGAAGAGAGACGAGCCGAAGTGGCCTAGTGATCGGTGGAACATGGCGTAGACTTCGCCATATGCACCCTCGCCCAACAACGGACCTTGGAAGTACCTGGCAGAGAATAAGAGGGTGCGTGAGAAAAATCGACAAAAACACTGCTGCGAAAAAAATGCACAGCAAGTTGTTTTATCCTTCATGGTGTGCAATACAGCCGCTAGAGTATGTTACAAGCATTTACAAGCTATACGGTAGATTTCGTATGGACCCAACCTTTGAAAATGTATACTGGGCTTAGCCCCCTGCTATATCACATGTTGTTCTTGACCTGCTTTTTAGGCCCTCCAAGCTCTCGGTCCCGGGCTGCTCTTCGGCACCCAAATCCGTGTTCTGACGCCTGAGAGACAGGATGTCTGTGTCCGCGCTCACAGGTCAGTGTAGTTTATGCAAGCAATAGCACCAATAGCAGGGAACTGTTAGGGATTCAGGCTACAAAGAGTGTCGCTCCACCGTACCGCTAGCCTTAGCCCCGAAAAAAGGTGGAGCCGTAGATGAACATTTCTTTGGGGGGGTCGTGTGTGTGTGTGTGTAACCTTTGGAGTCACAAGGTTCCTGTTGGAGTGTGCTTCGTTGCCGTTTAATGTTTTATGCAGGGGATGCCAGGGACCCTGCAAGTCTGGAACTAACAAAGACACTTGCACTGGTCTGTGATATAGCTCCGGGACGCTGGAGCTACGTACCTGCTTTGAGAAGAACCTACGTAAGTGCAAAGCTGTCTCATTCTTTGTAGTGCAGTAAGCGTCTAATGCAGCGGCAAGTCACCTCGGCAGTTTCGTGAGCTTGAGCCTTGAACCTTTTTTCGAGAGCTTTGGCAATTTGGAAGCCTTTGCAGGTTTTATGGTCGCTAGGTCTTCACATGTTCACCCTGGCTTCTTAGGTTTTTCACTTAGGCTGGCGTGTGGCAAACCGCGACCAAATCAGTACGCATTTCTATAAGTTAGTGTGTGTGTATGGATATAATTATAGAGGGAGAGAGACAAAAAAAAAGGAAGAAAAAAGAAAAGTTCAAAGGTCTGTAGAGACGAAGAAAATGATAAAAAGAAATGAATATAGGATGGTATGTGTTCTTTTCCACGTCAGAAAGACCACTTCCAAAGGTGAGCAGCCAATGTCTCTGTTTTGATAATTTCATTGTGAGGCTGGGCAAGCTGCAAAACGCCTTTAAATTGTATTTGAACAGAACAAGGGGGTGCAGCACCGTTTTCAAGGTCGACCAAATAAGTAAAAAGTGGTATGAAGTCAAGCCATCATCTTTCCACTGAATGTTGAAGGTTTCTGGCAATGATGTTTGTCCAGAAAGTCTTGTACTTCCAATGTCAGATCTTGTGCCTTCGTACCATCATCTTCCTTGAGACTTTTTGCTGGCCGAGGCGAGCTTGCAACGCATGCAGCCACCTGGACATGGCTGAGCTGCATAAATGGCACTGTGTGAGCATCAGAGAAAGACTGGGCAGAAATGTAAACTATGAAGGACCATGCAAACGAAGCGCTGGAATCACAGATTCTGCAAATTCCAGCGAAGCATCGCCAAGCAAGTCTGTTCTTGCTGAAACCAGAATCTTCAGCAGAGCTGGTTTAAATTGGTGAAATCCTTGCGATTCACGGCCTCGTGAAGGCTTCCAGCCATTGCGATTCAGTCACATATTCTGGAGCCTGCGCTGAAGAGGCATGTTCGGAAACACTCCACTGTCCACAGTAGCAAGAGCTATCCACTATCCGCACAAACGGTCCCGAGCTGACAATCCAAGGGACACGGGACACGTGTATTTTCATAAATCCCTGCCCCTCCCTCTGTCTGTCAAACCAGCCTGAACACCTCCAATCGGCTTCAAAGGTCCAGAGCTTTCCCGTCGCAGCTGCGCCCAAAGCAAAGGCCACAGGCGTTGCGGGAAGCCCCATCGATCCTCAAGAGATATGATCTCAGTCTGCAGACTGCAGACGGTTACAAATCCCGTCTCACCCAACTCACCACAGTTTTGATTGGATTGGACAGATAAGCTGCTCAGCAACACTGCGACAAAACCGACCGTATCTCTCCCAGCCTCCAGAAGCTCAAGGAGTGGTGGCAGGTCTGCACATCTCCCCTTGAATCGGGCATAGAGCTTCACAGCCAGGGTCCTGTCCAGTAATGAACTCAGCAAGACTGGCACAAAATATAGAAAATTGCAGCAAGGATCCAATTCGTTGCAAATCATTATTCACCTTCGCTCAGAAGGATGCTACGAGCATAGATCGCACCAACAACATCCTTGTGGTCATTCGAAGAACTGAACACATTGCGGAGATCTTTGTTAATTGTGCCGCCAAAACTACACTGGCCAGACAAGAGTTGCGCTTCTTGAAATTAAAGCTCCTTACAAGCCTTTCCCATCCTTTCCCCCTAGAATCCTACACTGGGAGACCTGGGACGGTGTAGGCGGTCATTCTTCACACCGGCAAGCGGTTTAGATCCGTTTAGTATTACGTATTTAATTGGCCGTCCCACACTTGCCACAAAAATTGGACTTGTTAATTCGATCCGCAGCTGACCCTATAGTGCTTAAATATATGAACATGGTTATAAACTCCGGACTGAAGTGTCAAGATCAGTATGCCTCCAAAATTGCCCCAGCATGGTGGCGACTTCACTTCTGAGTCTCCCCACTTAGGACCCTCGTCCCAGGAGAGGAGCGTGCCAAGTCTCTCCTTCACGAACAGGGCTGTTACATTGCAGGGCCAGAGAAAAGCTCAACAAGATCTACGAAGCTAGGGAGATCTTTGAGGGTGAATATGAATAAATGAATCAAGATCGTTCTGCTTGCAATGTTTTTACATGTTTCGTGCTGTTACGACGAGGTCTGCTCTTCATGACAACCGATGTCTATCGCATCCATTCGCCTGTTGAACGCCGAAATCCAGAAGCCTCCGTGTGATCATTATCTACAGTACTTGTCAAGGCGACAAGCCCTCTTTTGCCGCCGGGGTTCTCTTTAAAAACTGTGGAGGATCAATTTCGGCTCTCGCCTGCAGCGTCCAACCATCAGCCTTCCGCTTCGAGCGTTGCTTCTCCACCCTCGGGCCTCCACAGCTCTGCCACGAAGCACAAAGTCGGACGATGCATCACCAGCCCTAGATTTGTCGCCAAGCACCAAAAGATTTTGTATGGATGGCAATAAAATGCAATAAGTAAGGGTAGCAAAGGAAGGCATGTCTGTAAGTAGTGTTCTTTAAGATGTAATTGCAGTGCTATTCTTGGTAGGAGGTCGAAGACCAGGAAGGATAGAAGCAGCACCAGCACCAATGAAACACACATTTATGAGTCAGCCCCAACAGCAGCGTCCGGCAAACGCCTTGAAGTGTAGTCTCTAGAGGGGAGCCATCCATGCGTAGGCTTTGCTGAGTGGTTCTTTCACTATCTTGAGTTGGCAGTGGAGCTCTGTGCATGCAGTGCAACACTTCTTGAATTGTGGATTCCACGGCGCATTCCCATCTGCCATGTATCTGGATCAGATGGCAGTCCACAAGAGAACATAGAGCAAAGGTGTCAAGCGGTTCACAGGCGGCATCGTTGGGACTGTCTTGTTGGATTGCCAAAAATAGTGTATATATATATATCTGGTGGATATCTCTCATTGAAGCTCTTGAAGGACATGTTCTTAAAGCGTTTTGTTTGATCCAAAGCTGCAGCTCTTCACAAGTCTTGGTTGGGAAATGATAAGCCCTATGACCTTATCTTAAGTTTGCGGTCAAAACCATTCTAAGTTTTCCAAGTACGAATCAGTACTGTGTATGTGCCACACACCTTGGGTATTCATATGAGCCCAACTCTTTTCTGTTTCTAGTTCCCAAGCCAAATAAGTGCCAAGCTCGCTTCATTGGATTTGGTTCAAACATGGATATGCTGCATGCTGCCCCTAGGCGTTCCTAAATCATGCTTGAAACCAGTTGACAACGTAAACCTCACAAGTTTGGGACTTAAATTGAGTGAGTGATCCTCTACATATATATATATATATACATCTGCCAGTCGAAGAGAATTCGGAGAAAAGCAACTGCCTAAAATCACCAAAAACTCGAGTTCGGGGCAATGGCCACTTCGAAACCTGAAAACACTATATAATACGACATGGAGGGAGTGGCTTCTCATCAACAGCTTCTGGTGCCAGCTCCATCCTGCTGTGAGGCATGTTCAGCATGTCGCTTCACAAAGAACCACGCCAAAGGTTGAAGGAGAGAGTTTGAAGTTGTGCATCCTGCTTGAAACAAAAATAGTGATAAATATGTTGTAAAGGTGAAGGCTTTGCCAATGCCTTTCGGAATGCATTGAGGTGTGGGTGGAAGCTGGCCTCTCTTTGACGCGGTTCACACGGTCAGCGCTCCTCTGTGTCTCGAAGTTGAACACACGTGGTGCTCTTCGGCCTTAGCTGGGGTAGAGGACGCTACTAGGAGCAAAGGACGCTACTAGGTGCTCCTGGCCTTACTACTAGGAGCAAGGACGCTACTAGGAGCAAAGGGCATCGCTACTAGGAGCATTTCAACTGGGGTTGGTACTTGGTACATTGTCATATCAACACAACAAAGGTTCAGCAAAAGCTGCTGGTGGAATTGTCGTATCATTTTGGGATAAGTTAAAGCATGTTAAAGCACCATCCATGGAGGGAGTCCTGCACTTAACAACCAAAAACAATTGGCATGTCTTTGTACGGAGCCAATAGAAGCACGTGCCCCATCCTTACCACATTACTGAAAGGCCTCTCCTGACAGTGGAACCAGTAGGACAAACTTTGCACTGAGCATCCCCGGCTTTGACTAAGACCATTGAAGCGGCTGCGCAGCAAAGACAAAGCAGTCTGGACCTTGCAGTAACTGCTGCAAACAGCTTGAGGAGTACATGATTCAGCAGGTGCTGGTCAACATTAAAACAGTCAGTGTCTTCTTACATTCAAAATACTTCCTCTCTGTGGAAGTATTCTTCAAGGGGTTCATTGCTCCCCATCACTATTATGAGACTGAAGGGGTGATCCGAAGGAGGTTTAAAGACTGTTCACCCAGCGCGCTGTGAATGTCTTGGCCGTCTTTTGTCACCTCCGCAGCTCAGGGCTCGACGCTTTCCATCATGACCTTGCCCAATTGACCTGGCACGTTCTACAAACTTCTCTGAGAACCACGTGTGGCTCCAATGCAGGCCTGTTACGGTCAACTTGCCGCTGCCCACCTCAACAGACAAGACTCAAGGATCCTTCCATACAAGCCTGATCACGTAATTGCAAGTCCCAATATGTTAATCACGCATCTGTCAGGAAAGAAATGCAAAGTATATGAGTATTGCTTGGTTTCCCGCTCTCCATGTTTGATGGTTCTACACCAGCTGCGGCCATGTCTCAGTCTTGGTCGTCTCAATGAAGAGCAACTGTCCACCCACAGAGGAGACGCTGAGCCCCATCGACACGCCTCACCCCCCAAAACCTTGAAATCATATGAAGCACGTGCCGTGATTGTGTACATCTCCTAGAATGAACACCCGGTCTTCGTGACTCCTAGCTGCCAGTGGGTCCTTTTCCGACCTGTTGTCCGTCCAGTTGCTGTTGGTGAAGCAATCTGTTGTGAAGAAAGGATTAGTTTTGATGGCCGTCTGCGACCTATCACAGTCCATTCATTCATAGCCAGTATATGCTCTGGTCAGTCCACAGCTCTCGCAAAGATCAACATGATGGATATGCAATACATTATGTATGCTGCAGATATGCTTGCTTGACTTGCGACAGAGCTAGAACACCTGTTTCTGCTGAGAAAACCTCAATGTGAAGGTCCTGATTGCTTCGTCGCTCCAGTGTGGCTTTGTCACACCTGCAGTGAATGTGGCTTTACAATGCTTTACATGTCCATCTGCACTCAATTCTAGCAAGCGCTCGTGTCTGCTTCAGGGCGAAAGATTTGAGCGCTGTGACCACTGTGATCGTGATGATGACGGCCGAGATGAGACAGGAGCTACCAAGAAGTCTTTCAGTTGCTGAAAGGACACCTGCCCACTCTTCAGAAATGCCTCGACTTGCGATGACGACCTTCAGGGGATCAGGAGGGTCGGCACAGTGACTGCAGGCAATGTGGGTGGGATGCTGGAACAGTCTGCTTGGAGTGCTAGTGCTGCAAGGGGACTCCCTTCAGTGCGTCATAGGGTCTAGAGTCACCACGCTTCTTTTCACATGGCATCACATGGCCCACGGCAAATACCAACAAAGCAGTTCCAGATCACCATAGATCACACACATTGCACTGTCACGCGGAAACTCATTATATAGTTCCCTCTTGCAAATGGAACACTCACCTGGGGTTGAAAAGAAGTTCCTCTGATCAGGCCCTGAACCTGAATTTGTGTTGAAATTGGCCGCCTCCAATCGGTAGATTGTCTCAATATCGTCTCTGCCAGGGGCATGGTTGTCACTTCTTGCACAAACAATAGAAGCTCTGTTTCGAGTTGGTTGAACCTTGATTGTTCATCTCCATTTGCGGAGGGATTGCATGAATATGTTGAAGTACCTGGTGGAGTTTGAAGTGCGTCAAAAGCAAAAGTAAATACCCCAAGATGGGTACTTTTGCAATAGTGGGATGAGTTTTGAAGGGAATGGTATAGATATCACACATCAAACATGTCACTTGTTCCAAGGGGTCCACGCAGCACACTCACCCACACCGCACCTACCTACAGGTTGCCAACTGTCCCCCAGAGGAGGGACATATTTGAGGCACCACTGACAGAAGTTGCCTCAGACCCGGCCTTCCACCGAGGTCCGTCGCTGCCCGCACACTATCAAGGAATGTCTCTGCCTCTGAGGTCGTGAGGATCCCATCATTGTTTGAATCGTAGCCTGAAAAGGCATCGAAAAGGCCAAACACGCTATCAAGTCGTACACCCCCGAGAAACAAACATTGATGGCATCGCTACTAGGAGCAAGGACGCTACTAGGGGCTCCTGGCCGTACTACTAGGATCAAGGACGCTACTAGGAGCAAAGGGACGCTACTAGGGGCTCGCTAATCGCCAGTCTGGCAAAATGTACGACCAATGCGGCATGATTTGAGGGCGCTTGGAAGTTGGTCGACTCCGCTTCGCTGTAGCGCACAGGTATCAAAGGAATCAAAAGAGGTACATTGTCAGCTCAGCAACTGGCAAAGAGCATGTGCAGCTCATCCTCAAGAGCATCTTGAAAGAGCAGCAGTGCTCCCGTAGAGAACTCACTAAAAGACAAAGTTCCATCTTTGTCTACATCCAGCACCTGGAAAGTTTTGGCCAAGTCATCATGAGGGATGCCGGCTGCGTCAAAATACGCAATGAGTTCGTCAAGAGTGATCGTTCCAGTGCGATCCTTATCCACTTCTGAAAACATGCGGATGATCTCCCCAGCACGCTGAAATGGCATTCTTGACGCGATCTCTAGGAGCAGTCCTTGCCTTGCTCTGTGCAGCTTGTGGGCGTTGAGAAAGTTGGCGAACTTCTCAGGCGCCACAAACTTCAACTCATGGGTGGCTGTCTGGAAGTATGGGAACTCTAAAGCTTCAGCCATTGTAGGACGATCTGATTCCTGGTATTGAAGCATGGCTTTACACAAGGTCTTGCTGTCAGCACAGGTCTTCATATCTTCCCAGCGAGGACCTCGCTTGTGCAGCCTCGTCCAGGCTGAGGGTTGGATCGAACTGGCCATGAAGGGCAAGGCACCTGTGCAAAGCTCAAACCTTGGAGTCTTCAAATGAATCGCATGCATCGCTGGCAACAAGCACTATCTTCAAACAAGCCAAAACCACAAAAGCGTTCGTGGTTCTAAAGGTCACGTGGAAGGGTTTGTACGTCTGAGTGAGCAACTTGCACCTGGTAATTGAGCTCAGGTTCCAAGCAAAAACGTATTTTTCTTCAACGACCAGAGACATGATACATCCCAACGACCACACATCGCACTTTGGGCCAAAGTTTCCATTCCAAACCTCCGGAGCCATGGTGGTAGGGGTACCACCAATAAACCGCCCTGCCGGATCTGCCACGGAAAACATTTCAGCCACTCCCAGGTCGATGATTACAGCATGTGGTTTCTCCCATTGGTCCTAGGTCGCTGTTCTCACTGATGTCACTCAAATATACCGCAAAATCGGCAGCCAAGAGCCAAGCGTCTGGTTTTTCTACTTGTCTTACAAATATTCAGCTATCAGGGGCAAGCCACCGGCTTCTCAAGCAGCATGATGTTCTCATCTTTGAGATCTTTATGGATAAGCCGCAGGTTATGGCAGTACGCCAAGCCACCAGCAGTCTGTTGGATCACTTCCCGAATCCATGCTTCTTTGAGGCCGCGCTCATCCTGCTCCCAGCTTGAATGGCACTATCGCTTGCTCAGCAATTAACAAAACCCACTGACAAGGCAGTGTCAGGATTAAGATACATTGACATGCAAAGGCAAATACAACATATTTGCAAAAAAATACGGCAAGCGGTCCTTCTTGTTCAACTGCACAATGACGTCCTTTAGAGATCCTCCCTTCAGATAATCCAGGACTAAATAAACACGATTGGCATCCTCATACCATTCGAACAGCCGGACCATGTGGGGGTGGTCGATCTGACGCATGATCAAGATTTCCTGCTCAATTTCATCCAGAGGCAAGGCTGTGCGGCTTTTCTTCACCTGTCAGGCAAAGAATCTTTTCTGAATGCTTGCTGTGTGTGCTGGAATGGTTGAACTTCCAAAAAAACAGCTGCAAAGGACAAAGGAGTATTAAGGAGCATTGGAGTACCAAGCAACAGCTTTGATGACACGTTCTTCTCCATTCTGGATGTGAACCGCTTGGTAGGCCGTTCCAAAGGAGCCAGTGCCAAGCTGCTTTTCTCTCCGGTAGACATCCCATACATCTTGCTTGCCTTGCCATTCTGTCTGTCCGTCGATCGGAAGCAGAGCTTCTTGGAGCTACTAGTAGCGTCCTTGTTACTAGTGTGATGGATCCCCAAGCATTCAATTCTATATAGGCTTTATACATCTTTATACAGTATAGGTTGAAGTACTATTCAATCTTTAATGCAATACATGCTGAATGTAATCTATGCTGGCCAAAAACCTCTCTCATGCAAAGAGTCAGTCAAGTGATGTTGAAGCGAGCTAGCAGCTAGGTCGACTGGACCCAAACAACTTCATGGCACCTGAAAGAGGGTACCACAGCCTCCCTCCGCTCCCTGTTCACTCGCCTTTGGTGAGAAAGAACTCCCGACCCAGGACAGATCCGCGGTCGAATGCACTCCTCCGCAGCTGCGAGACCAGCAGCCTTGGAGCCACGAACGTAGACCCCGCTGGTTGGGAAGACCCTTTTAAGATCCCCAAGCCAGTCTAGGAACCCTTGTTGACTTTTGTGTTACGTACCAGGAACATTGTGAAGACATATGCAAGATTTGGATAGATTTACAGTAGTATGTTCCTATATGCTCCATGAGGATATTTATACTCAAGTGCCACACTCCAAACCTACCCCGCATTCTACAGATTCTACGCAGCCAAACAGTGCCGAGCAGCTCAAAGAAATCATGCCCGCCAAGCACTTTCCTGATGGACTTCAATGAACATCATCACGCAAAAGAAGTGTCTTGGGTCTTGACACTGACAAGACACCAAAAGATCAAAACATTTGAGTTAATGCCGAGATCAAAGAAGCGAGGCTCGGGAATTAGAAAGACTATGAAAGACTGTGAATGAAAGGGGAACGACCAATGACTCGTATGACTTGCTCACGGCTGAGATTCTTCCCAGTCGTGTCGAAGCGCTTCAACAAAGACTCCACCGTGTTCCGATCTGGCTTGGGTAGATCCTTAGCTTTGCAAGACTGAATGTGACCCACTGTGGGACCATGTAAAACTCACCAGTATATGCAGCAAGACAAGGATCCATATCTTCATGCAGCTGTTCAAGACATTTGTGCACTTCATCGAAATCTAATTGTCCGCTTCCATCCACATCACTTTTCCTGAACATCTCCCCAGCAATCTTCTTGAGGTCTGGTTCGCTAAGAAGCTCCAAGCATTTCCTTCGCATGTCGCGTGATTTGAAGGTCTTCAAGACCAAGGACTCCCTTCGGCCTCCGTGCCCAGGGCGCTTCTCTTCTGCTAGAGACTTCCCTGCGATTTGTAAGGTGCCGGAGATTGACTTTGTCATCGTGCCGGTCAATGTGCTGGCTGTTGTAGCCATGGTACCTATGGTATTCATGGTATTCGCTGGGGTGGGAGCTGCACATGGCCCTCCTCTCAATGTCAATGATCGGGTCGGATCCAGTCGGATGGAAGGCGAATTCACGATGAGTTGCGCCCGGGGCTTGGCTTTGCCAAAGTTTTTGCTGTAGGTGGTCATGAAACCTGGGCGAATGACATACTGTCGCTTTAAAACCGGTGAAAAAACAGAAGGAAGGGAAAGGAAAGAGAAAACATGCAGTCTCAGTGCAACGATGTTGTGACAGATATTCAAGAAAATGCATCAGATACTGCATTGCAATGTGTTGCTTCTCCTTTGTATATTCGACGTGAAACGTTCATCTTTGGCCGTGTCCACTTCCACCCTCTTCACTGTACTTGTCGGAGGTTTTTCGGAACCCCATGGGCCACCGATGCGATAGCCCATGGCTAGTCGCGCGACAGGCTTGAGCCCCTGGGGTGGACGCTGCCAGACACAAGGTTGCAGTCAACAGACACTTTAATCTTCCTGTTGGTCTCCAAAAAGTGTCAGCACTTCTATCTCCTTGGTCTCACTTCAAGAGCTTTAGATGTTGATGGACATGATTGTGGCAGGGAAAGCAAGTGGTTTTTGGTTCCGGTCCAAACCTCGCCTCCTGCAGCTTTTAATGGTTGAAGCTCGTGAATGCTGAGAGCCCTGGGTGCCCAGCCAATATCTAGCCGTTCAGCCAGGTTCTTAGCGCAAAAGTGCCGCACCGCTTGATCACCAAGCAGAAATGCATATATAATTACCTCTTTTTCATGTCTCGGCAAAAAGGAAAGAGGAAGAGCGAGAGAGCAAGAGAGAGCAAGCGAGCAAGGGAGCCAGCCAGCCAGCAAGCAAGCAAGCAAGCACGCAGGCAGGCAAAATAGCCAGGATCTTAAACTCCAAACTCCAAACCTTGATCGCTAAGGGGTGATTCTGCTCCTAGCTACAACCTGAAGTATGCTACAGAGGTTGGAGCGCACTGATAAGAATGAGGCTGATAGCTTGCTTGGTGGTGATGCCAAATTGAGATTCCACCCTCACCAACGGAAAAACCGATGGCCACATGAATTTCAGGCCTGGGCCTCGATCTAACCATGGGCGAGTTGTGTTTGCAACAGCTCTGCTCTCAGATTGCAAGGAGAAACTGTTGCTGAGTCTTTGGCGGGCTCGAAGAGCTCAACTCCCAGGATGTGAGGCAAATGCTCTGCATTAACCTTGGAGCCCAGCTCAGGTTTTGGACGTTGAACATCATTGAACAAAGCCTGGACGAGGTATTGCAAGTGTTGAACACTTCAGTCTAGACGCCTTGATGTGACCATCTTCATCAGGGCCACTGCTTGCCAAAGCTGCCTGCCACAAGCACTGCCGCAAATGGGGGTTGATTCAATATTATTTATGGTATAGTATGGTGTGTATGTATAATATATTATCCTTTTGAATACACCCTACGTCATCGCTGCCAGTTTGGGCCATGCAAATTTATATCCACTTGAAAAGAGACAAGCCCTCTCTCTGATGAATCTAGAGTCAGACTGTCCCACCATACTAACCCTGAAAATACGATGACCCCTGGGGGATTGCCATGGTGGCAATGTCCCTCTTGATGCAGAAGAAAAAAGGGAAGGTAAGGGCCTATCAGTTCTATTCTGTGAAAAAGCACAACATTATTGTGTAATTGATTGTTCCCCAGTGCGAGCTGTCAAGCCAAATAGACAATCAGGGTTTGAACCCGAGAGACGTCTATTTGTCAAGGCACCAACTTCAACTTATGTTGGTGCCGGTTTTCGCCACGACGAATCTACGTGTGATGCATCTTCGGCAAACAGGGTGGAGCGATTCTTTGGCTGTTTCTTTTCAAGTATGGGACCTCTCTAACATCGGCAAACCGAAAGCTTGTAAACAATGTGGAAGTCCAACAGTTTAGATCGTGACCGTCGGCAGCCAGAGAATGCGGAAGAAAAGTGGAAGCTTTGCGCCATTGTGTAAGTCTTTTCCTGTGCCTCTTTGGGGCGCAAGGCCTACCAAGTGGTTGTCTGGCTTTTGCCTCAAGGGGGTCCACCGCCCTTTTCTCATGGCCCGGCTTTACCTCAAAGTGAGGATTGGCAGGTGGTTGCTTGCTTGTTTGTTCGTTCGTTGGTTTGGTGTGCTTGTTTGTTTCACTGCCAAAATGTGAACCTGATCGCCTCTTGGAGGAGACAGCAGGGAATACTGTAGAGCCCCTACCCGCCTCTCTGGCCGCTTCTCGTCCCAAACCAGTTGGCACATCGACGCCCTGTGCGAGCCGTTGGCACAAGTCCGGTCGTGGAAAGTTCGAGCAACTCTGATTCAAGGGAATTTGGGGTCTGTGTTGTATGTGCTAGAGGCATCTAGAAGCCTGAGGCATTTTGAGGCCTTCTCTGATTGTACTGAGCGCTGAGAAAGCAGAGAGAAACCGTGAATATGCGGCCTGCAAACGCAAAGCCGCCCAGCGACAAATCCTCATCGAGCGCTGGTCACAGTAGCGGTGGCACATCAGGCACATCTATTGGAAGCAGTGAATCAAATGAACAAAACAACGAAACTATATATATAATCATTGGCGGCCATCGCTAGTAGCTTGGAAGCCATTGCTTCTAGGTTGGAAGCTATGAGGTTGGAGGAATCAAACAAATCACCCTCAATCCCCCTTCCACCCGCACTCAGGCTCCCCGCTGTGCCAAGTGGCGCTCCAGGGATCTGACAAACAAATCTTCAAAGAATGCCTTCTCATGGCTGGACAGTGAAGAAGACCCACTTCCGCTAATATGTATGAAGCAAGCATAAAGTAGATACCATCAGGTATTGGTTGTATTTGCACAAATCAAGTCTCCGACCACCTATTTCAACCGCCACCTATTTCGGCCCATGTCTCCGGCCCGGCCTCACGCCACTCTCGGCCGTCCAGCGGGTGACCAAGGCTTCCAAGGCCTCCTCGCTCACGTCCAGGATCGGAGCTGCGTCGCCCTGGTCCCATCCAACTGCAGGTTTTACAGGGTTTGATCCAAAGCAAGGGACTACGTGAGCAGAAACAGAACCGGCCTCCTTCTCCAAAGCATGGAGCTGCCGTTGCTTGGGAAGCAAATGGCTTCTACTGATGGCCACCTGCAGCTGATCTGAGGTTTCTGGGAAGTGTGAAAAGAGGCAGGCATCATACTGTAATCGCTGACCAAGACTACAAAAACACAATATCAGATATGCAGAAATCAGCAGCTCTGCCATCCCAATGAACAATAGCTAATATACAAATTCTGGTATGTTCAGTCTCTAGATGTCTCTAGTGAGACGTGTGGAAAGAATCGACAAGTCAGTTGAAGACATACATGTTTAAGTTTAAATCAAGCAAGGCCACTTTAAGTGTGTTTAATCCAAGTCAAACATGCAAATTGCAATGACCGCCATCTAGACTGACCACAAGCAAGGGGCAATTCGAAGGTTGACCTATAGGAGAACCCCCCCAAAGAAAATAGACGACCATTTCAGATTGGTTGGCAAACAAAAAAGAATACGAAAGCGGCTCGATTGGTCCCCATAGATTCATAGATATCGGCCTTTTCCTCCACCGTGTAGCCCGACAAATCAATCACCTGTCCAATCCGAAGTGCACAATGTCTGAAGGTAAAGTCAATGATCTCAAATGCCCACATACATATACATTGCATATTGTATGTAGATGTTACATATATTACATTATCTACTGTATATATATATATTAGTTTTGTATATATTATAAACTAAACTTTATATATATATATTATATATATACATATCCTCGTGCATCCCATCCACATCCTGCTTTCAGCTAGCGGAAGGGTCAGTCTCCACTTGCTAAGCTCAGTTTCTTTCATCTTCAATGTGGCAGGTTCTCGGTACATATGACTCATATGACTCTTCTGAAGGTCCAGACCTCCATGCGATCCAGCAAAGGCCGATCGATGGTGGAGGTGTCATTTGCAGTGCAAATGAAGATGGCGTTGGACCTCACAAGAGTGAATGTTCAATTGGTCCAGGTTGTGTTCAGTGGAGTGTTGCAATGACGAGAAACTCACATGAAAGACGTCCACATCTTGTAAAAAGGGTATCAATCTTCCCATCTCTAGTGATCCAGAAGCTACTAGGGGCTCCTGGCATCACTACTAGGAACAAGAAGCTACTAGGAGCAAAGGGCATCGCTACTAGGAGCAAGGACGCTACTAGTGATCCAAGCTCCAGGGTTGGAACCCAGCCCCTTTGGGGGCATCCGCGTGTTTCGACCCTTTGGAATGGCTGGTCACTGGGGCTGTCGCAGGTCAAAGGGCGTGTTCAAATAGTGGTCCTTGAATCACTTGGGACACGAAAAAGAATTCTCTTCCTTTCAGTCCTCGCCTGTCAACTAGCTTGGAAACTCATTGACCACTGGCTTGGAATGGCTGAGAACCCAACTGAAGCTGGCAAGCCAGCATGCTTATCGAATTGAGTGTCTTTGCAGTTGACCGCTCCATGACTCAAGACTCGACTCCACAATCATTGGCCCTCTCGCCTACCACAGGTCTCACTGTACACTACGCATGGTGCCTTGAAGGTGGTATTTTGCTCAGGATCCAATATCTCCAAAAGTGTTGCCTCCGGCATGACAAGGTGAGGGTGCCCAACAAGATCTCATTTGGGCGGAAACATCCCCTTCCTCCCCTTGCATTCACAGGACGACTTTTCAGTCTCTTAGAGACACAATTGCTGGGAAATGCATCTGTTGCGTTCCAGAAATATCTCATCGGATGCCAGGCTTTCCAAGGTGTTCAGTCAGCCGCCTGTGGATTGAACATCGAATTCTGCGAGGTTTTGTCAACCTGGCTCAGCTCATGTACGGTCATACTGTCAGTCATGACATCAATCACACTTGGAATCTTCGCCCAGAAAAGCAGCGACCAATGAAATTAAACGCAGGGTGACCGGCCTCATCCAAGAGGATGACAGGGTTGTTCACACCTAAAGTCTGGAAGGCCTGCAACAAGACTGAGCAAAGCAGTCTAGACTTGGAAGACTGCGAAGCCAACCAATAACTAGCACAGTTGGATCTGCTTGGTCGCTTGGCGTATGACACAGTGGCTATGCCTGGATAATGACACCAGGGATGCTTCCGATGTAAGCTCGTCCTCGAAGAACTCAAGACACAAGAGCTTGCAGTTGACCATGCTTCCGGTGTAGTCAGGAGAAACATGTCACTTGGTTTGCCAGAAACAATTATGCTCTTCAAGCTCTTGAAATGCAAAAACCAAGATTTCCCAATTCGTGATTGGTGACTTTTGTGCTTTCGTTACTCAAGACTCCCACAGAATGAAGCCATCTGAGCAGCCAGACGGTGACCCCGCAACTCCGCTTCATCTCGCACACCTGCCACAAGTGTTCAAGGTGGGCTCCGGAACTGTCGCAGATCGTCGGTTCCTTTTGGAGGAGCAGAAAGGGGTCTTTCCGCTTCCAATATTCATCGGCTTTGAGATGGCCCTCGCTCTGGAGCCACAGCCGACACCCGCAAGTTGGCCGCGTGCCAAGGTCGCATCAAGAGGATTGTGGACGAAGGGATCAGGCCACACAAATTGACGAAAATTGAAGAAAACGGTTTTTTGTTCTTTTGTTCAGCCCGTGGGGAAGTAGGCGGTAGCTAGGGAAGGTAACTAGTAGGGAGAGGTAGCTAGTAGCTACAAGTCGCTACTAGTATGGACGCAGGATAGCTCACGCTTCTTCAAGGAAGCTCCCCGCGCTGCCCTAAAGGCGGCGGGGGAAGCTTCCTTGAAGAAGCGTGTGCACTAATGATTTGGTTCCTAGATTTTTTGGAAAACTTAACAACAATTCACTAAGCCCATAGAACTGCTTGTCTGCTACTCGATGCCATCCGCGCGCCGCGCCTCCCAATGCAATGCGATGGAACTTCCGGCCTCAGCAAAGTCAGCGAAGAAGCAGGTGCACGGAGACGTGTGGAGACACTGCAAACAATTGACTCCCGACATCGTTGGAAGTCTCGAACTCGTCTCGTTAAGCCCTTAAAGCTCTACAATGGCGGAGTGGCCATCTTGACTGTTTAGGATGACCAGTTTTTGGATCCACTAACGGAACGCCTGAAAAGAAACCGATGAATGCCTGTGTCACGAACCAATGGCTCGTGCAATTGATCGCCCCAGTGACGTCTTGCCTTGACCCAAACAATGGACACTCAGAGGGCAGTTCGCCAAGCAATGTGACACTGAAACCAACTGTTTTGGGCTTGAAATGTGTTCTTGATTCACCTTTAATTTAAGGTCTGTGCTTTATGGTGCTTTATGGTGTGCTTACTGTTGTGCTTTATGTTTACAATATGACATGAACTATGTTGTTTGCCAGTGAACTATGCAGGACTCCAACCAGTGATTCAAGAGGCTCAGCCGCACCGGCCCAACTCACAGCTGCAGCTGTATGCACCTCTTTTGAGGGACTCTGGTAGCTACTAATTGCAGCTTGCTTTGTCAGGATTCAGGATCTATTGGGGGTCTTGCAAATGTTTGAAGCTCCCAATGTGAGAGATGGCTTCAATGTATCTAGAATCTAGTGAATCTAGTTGAGTCGGGCCTTGTGCAACTACACTAGGTGTCCTTTAATTCGCTTTCCTCATCTTCCTCACACATTCTCACTCTCTCCAAATAGAATCAGGTCACAAGCTACATTCAAGGACAGCTGGCTGAATGATGCCCTGTCTGAAACACTGAAACAGCCGCCCATCAAATCGCAATACCAGTACCGAGCTGCCAATGCCAGGAGGACCTTCGAGGGAACCAGCAAATGAGAAAGCATTGCTCTGCCCGCTGCACTTGCATGGACGATAAATTGTTTACAGTTTACACAAAAAAAGAGAGAAAGAGAGCGAGACAGAGAGAGAGAGAGAGACAGAGACAGAGACAGACAGAGACAGACAGAGAAAAAGAGAGAAAAAGAGCAAGAGCGAGAATGGCACCAAGGATGAGCGCACTGCCTTGGCCGCCTGGACACAAGGATCGTTGCGAACTCACTCTGGTGGGCAGCAGGTGATTGCCTTCCAGAGCCATGGCAGGTGCAGGGCAACGGCTTGGAACTGTGGGCCAAAGGGCTGCATTGGGACGGAGCAAAGAGTATGTGGTGGATGGCACCTGCACCGCCTTGGTGCCAGGCCAGGTCACCCAGACCAGAGCCTATATCTATGGTTGCTGGTTGACCCTGAAGACCATGATGGGCCCGCATCAGATCTGCCTGGTGTCCAAAGCGGACTGGACCTGCAGGCGGTCCCTAAGTATGATGCCATTGCTGACATTTGGCACAGCTTGGGCACTGAAGAATAGAGGAGGTTGCTGACCTATCACGCCTCGGTGACACAGCTTAAGGATGGATCCAGTATGTGGCAGCCAAGGGCATTGTGGCCAGGCTGCCTGAGTTCCAGCCCACTAACAGTCAGAAAGCTGAACAGCTCACGGATGACACCCTTCACAAGGAGGTGTACAGGATTACCATGAAGCGGGTCCCGGCGCTCCTTCAGGATAAGGATCACTACATGGCTGAGGCTGGCCCCACCACCGTCCGACAGCCAGGTGCCTGGACCGAAGAGAAGGTTACGCATTGATGTCGTTGCTCGATTGGTGCAGAGGCTGCGGTGCAAGTCTTGCAACAGACGCATCAAGGCCACCCATCAGGAAATTGAAGACAAGAACATCACGATCTGCACCAAGGCTCCCAAAGATCGAAATCAGCTGTAGGATCAGCTTGTCAGTGACACAGCCCACCAGGTGGTGCCTATCTGTCGGCCACTGCTGGAATGTTCAAAGGCAGCATGATTCGCTGTCGAGGACCCGCCATGCCAAGAACACCAGGGCATGCCGAAGAGGGTTTCTGCGACCCACCACCTGATCCGCAGAGGCCACCAGATTGAGTGTGAAGGATGTTTGAAGACATCCATGCAGGAGTTGATGAAGCAATGGTTTGCCGAAGTCTGCCTTGCACGGCAGAAGAAGCTGCAGTTCCCGGTCTCCACCAGCAGTTCATAGAAGTCCACTTTTGGCCAAAGGGCGGTGGCACGCTTGCAGCGGACACCAAAGAACTGTGCACAGACAGAGAGAGAGAGAGGGAAAGGCTTGAGCAAGTCAAGTCTACTAGCTTCTTGTTACTACTAGTAACAGTAAGGCACTTGTTTCTAGAAGCGATGCACTTGTTCCTAGAAGAATTCAAGTCAGCTCAACAAAAGCGGCTTTCTGAGTTCCATGCCATGCAAACACAGGATAGGCCCTTTCAGATTACCTGCCGGACATGCTCGTTTGATGCCATCGCTTACAAGAAAGCAGCTCCACTTGGCTCATGAAGCACGTTTCACAAATCCAGCTTGGTCGCTCAGCAGCTCCGCTTTTTGGCTCTGTCCACAGATCTTCTGCACGAGGCACCGCAGCCCCCAGGTGCAGTTCGATGGAAGGCCTCATCCAGCATGTCCAGCAAAGCCTTGACAAGGTCCAGTGGCCCAATGGCCCGTGGCGGGCAGTCATGAGTGTCAGCTGGGTCTTATTTGGTCACCCAAACCACTGTATTCATTGGTCTAGGCACAGGCCTAATTAGAAAGGTATCTGAAGATTCAAGATGTATGACTCAAGCAGGCTAGCGTGACTTCTTAGCTTTGCATAAGTCTTTTAGTCCTGACCTCGAGACCTCTAATCTCATTCTCCGTGGTCGACATCTCTTCACGCCTTTGTTGCCCGTAGACTGGAGGCACTCTCGGAAAAGCTCCTGTCAGTCGATCATATCTCCGAGGCAACCAGAATACAGGAGCTGGTCCGAGCTAGTGCCTTTCTTTCCCTTTTTGTTGAGACCGCCCTCAATTAAGTAGGCGCCTACTTAATTATATAAGTAAGGGAGAAGTTCGCTCCTAGCTACTTAAGCTACTACATACTGAACTAAACGCGGGATGGCTCACGCTTCTTCAAGGAAGCTCCCCCTGCTCCCCCCGCCTGAGGGCGGGGGGAGCTTCCTTGAAGAAGCACTCGCACTAGTTACACTAGTTTCTTTGATTCCTTGATATTTTTTTGGGAAGCTTAACATTTTTACAGGAGCTGGTCCCAGCTAAATTGTCTCGCGACGCACTTGCATGTCCAGCTGACTTCTTCTGTCATGTATATCTATCAAGCAAATCTTTTGTTGTGGGTGAGACCTCTCTCTTTTTCAATCTGCAAACACCAGCACTTGAAGTACATCTGTCTCTGTTTTAGGCATGCAACTACAATCGCTGAATTCCCAGGAAACGAGCAGGCTGGAGGAAATTTGGGTTTGGTTTCCAAACACATCCAACTTCCAAAAGGCTACCAAACAGCCTGCACGGGCTGGCAGGGCGTTGAACGCTTGGCTTCTGCAGATATGTATTCTTTCAGAAAGCGCTGGGCCACAAAAAAATCTTGTCAAAATATGCCAAAGTTGCTGGTGACTTGTCCTGTTCAATCACGTCTCGCACTTTCTCAGCATCCCTGCTGTATGTCATCGGTAAGCCCTTGCTGGATTGCTGGGCTGGTGCTTTGAGGAACCTGAAATGCTGGTTCTTTTGATGTTAAAAATGAAGAGCTTGGGAGGATTCAGCTGCCCTCAGGTTGCCTGAGGGATCCTGGCAGTCATGCCCCGAGCCTTGTCTGCAGGCCTTCTGCTTTGCAGGGCCAGGCACATTTCTGTGGCAAGTTGCTTGCAAAGCAAGCATTACAGTAAGTATGAGTCCGGTATGAGGCAAAAGCTAACACAAGCCCGATTCTCAATCTCCGTTCTTCGCTGTTCTGGCTCGATGCAAGGTGAAACAACTCATGAGAGCATGAGGTTTAGTTCTGCGGTTCTGGTGACACGAAGAAAGCTCTCAGACTCCCAGCAAACCTGCGGTGCGAACTTCAGCAGCCACAAGTAGGCCCAGTGGGCAACAAACCGCGGAGACCGGAGAGGAGCCAATGACTCACTGGGAGATGAAAAGCATGTTTAAAAAAAAAAAAAAATCACGATGATTCAAGAGTATCATATAAAACATCACAACGATGAACATACGATGAAATGTTGCTGTGCACGAGAAGTGCTGAGACATTATCTACTATTAAATGATACAGTTACAGACCTTGTACTGTTCCTGCATGCCTTTGAGAGTTCCAGGAAAATGACATTCAGGCACAAATTTAGGCCATCGCTATTTGGTGGGAGGCCATCGCTTCTAGGTTGGAGGGCAGAGCGGCCCTTAAGAAATGTATCGTGAGTCTCATCCCGTCCCCAAACTCTGCCTCCAAGAGGAGGTCTCATCGCCCAATCCGCCGCTCGGACTTTTCTCGGTAGAGCAATGGAGCTTGTAACGCAGAGTATCCATCAATCAGCTGTGTGCTATTTGTCATTCAAAGTCCCTGGTTCAGTGGTCTTTTACGCAGCAAAGTACGCAAAGTGGTGGAGCCAACCATGAGACGTGCACACACTGTCTGGGTGATCACAAAAACTGATGGCTTTACAGAGCAGATTTGATCTTCTGCGTTCCTATGATTCCTTTTGCCAAGCAACGTCCCATCTTTACAATGCCACCCCTCTCCTTGCTGTTGCTCCTTAGTGATGCTGGGGCGAGTTGAGACCTGATTGCCCACTCTGGCTCCCCAAGAATGGAAAGCATATGGGCATGATTCGGTATGTTGACAGCTTTAACCAAAAATCAAGAGGAGGTTGGGCATGGGTGGCCTGCCGATCTGAACAGGCCAAGAGTCTTTTCCTTGATCTTGGAGTTCAATTGCCCAACGGTGCCCTGGATTTCTGAAATAATCCGCTTGGCCAATGTGTTGATGTCTCGGACCTCAATTTTCGGGCTGGACAAACAAAGGCGTTGGTCTCAAGAGTCTATCTTCAGTGACACTGGCAGGCTTGATGATATGCCGCGCCATTTCTATTGGAGGACGGGCCGTCAAGGCGTCGGCGTGACAGGTGTCTAGACACCTTGTGGCTTCTTTCAGTTCTGAGACCCAGGCAGTGGCAGTGTTGGAATCTCGCAAAGCTAGAATGATTTCCGTAAATTCAGCAAAAGTCAAGGAAGGTGTCCTTAGCTGGCTTGCGGAGTCAGGACAAAGACCTGTTTCTTGTAGCTGAGAGAGAGAGGTAGTTTCTTCTTGGGCGTCAGTGAGATCACAGCGCCGTTGTAGTGCAAACTCCTTGCTCTAAATCAAGTGGGTTTATGCTCGTGACTCATGTCCTTCAGTTCCAGTGGATTGATCTCCGTGGGCCGTGGACCAATGATAAAGTTCTTTTTGAGCTGATAACCCATTTGCTGTTGTTGCTCGCTCACTCACCTGCCCCTGTGAGCCTTGCCATCCAAACGGTCAGAGTCAACACCTGTACAGTATCTTGAGATGCACTTTGGGTTTAGGCTGAACCCGGTCCGTTTTCAGCTGAACTGCCATACTCACTGGAGAATGCATGTGGAAATGGCCTCCTCAAGCGGATTGACGCTGTAACTGCAACTTTTTAAATATAGCGATACATTGAACTGATTTCGAACTCTGGCTTCACGGATCCCCTGGCTTGGAAGGGAGCGATGGAGGTTGGAGGAAAGGCGGGCAAACTGTCATTGCCCCGAACTATCGCACAACATCGTGAGGACTCGTCTGAACAAAATATACCTTCGTCTGAAAAGAAATAGAACAAAGATGAGTACCAGCCAAAGGGACGAAAGTATGCGAAAGTCATTAGCTTGACACGTCTTTTGGTTGCAGCTGTTCTTTTGCATCGCAGTTTGCATGCAGCAGCTAACTGTTTCAGCATCTGCTGAGGTGTGAGATCTGTTGTGACTTTTATGTTTCTTCGCTATAACCATTGGCAGACTCTCGACTTCAAGCATGTGCTAGTAGGCTTTGAACAGTCCTTGATCCTCTCCTCTTTTCGTGTTTGTGGTGGTAGGAACTGTTGAACGTATTCCATACATGCTAGCTTGTTCACTCCTCACAAGGCCATTGCATATAGACCAAATGTCACTTCAGAAAAATACTAAAAACACAATGAAGCATTACATAATTAGATTTAGATAAGTGGTCGGGTAGAAACCACCAAGGACGAAAGAGCACAATCAAACATATGCATCATGGATACATTCCTTCACTATAGTCACTATCCGCACAAAAGGAACATCATGTGTAAAGCAAGCGCACACACACACACGAAAGGTATTAGATTTCTCGCAGTGGCCTGAAGACGTTTAGGCAACTATCTATACTACATTGGAGAACTTGTGGACGTTGAAACTACAGCTCAAAGCAGATCACAATCCGAGGGACGGCAAAGTGGCAATTGCACCTAAAGAAATCAGTTCAGTCAAATGGCTCACCGAAGATTAGCTGTGGCGTCTCGAGCATGGCGATCACATCGATGCCCAAAGCACGCATCCCCATCAAAGCCTCTCTCCTCAGATGTCCGCAGCAGCGACCCTGAGGGCCCGTACAAGCAAGGTATCTGATTAAGGACATGGTAAGTAGGAGGTGTATTCCATGCACTTCGGGGTCACCCTGTTTCACTGCACCATCTGTTTTGCCGCCCAAAAAGTTTCAGCTGCTGCTGCAGAAAAGCTTCTTGTCCAAAAGCTTCTTGAACCTCAACTCCATGTGCACAAGAAGGTCCAAACACAACAAACCGAACAGGCTGGACCTCACATGTGCCTCTTGTCGAGAAATATGCTCAAGCAAAAGCGAGAAGCATGTCTGATGGATTCACCGATGCCTGATCTGAACGGAATCCCTATGAGTATCAGTATAATGCTTGTCTTCTAGATGTGCACTAAAGTGAGATGGTGTCCATCCGTTGTAATTTGTGCCGCAATGAACATAGTGTTGCCTGTATCTGTACTATTGTGATGTACTCCACGACTCTGCGAAACTGCTTATTGGGCAAATGAGAATTGCAGTATAGTTTCTGTATTCCGTGGTGTTTGTTAAAGCATCTGCCTTGTGTAGAATGTGACAAGGTGCATTTTACAGTGCATCGTGTATCAAATTGTGAGGGTCCGAGAATCCACGCACCGTCGCAATTCTACTAGGAAAGCTCCTGCTCTGAGGTAAACTACACAGCTAGAATCTATTAGCAGGACTTGGAACTCCTTGAATCAAGGGCCGTTTCAACCAACACACGCAAGCACACAGTATGACAAGCTGAGTTTAGCCCCACCCCCTCTGCAAGAGCAATCGTTATGTAGTAAGGTTGAAAGTATCCTACCACTCCGCCACACCCAATTTGAGGTGGCACCAATTCAGTTCAGGAGCTGATCGATTGTGATGTTATCGTCCTCTCCCAGTTCGCTCAAGGCAATCCTCATTTGGTCCCATTCATACCTCAGCAGTGAGCGTGAGGTGAAATGCGTGAAATTGGACGGTATTTTCCAGTGTTGCATCGGACTGACTATAAAATGTTTGTTTAAGACCGCGAATCAAAGGCATCTCTACTGTGCACCCTTTGGAATCGGCTGCAAACAATATTTGTTTGAAGGAATCCAACTGGAGCTGCCTGAAGCTCAGGAGTCTGAACCGTTTTCATTTTAGCCCGCTCCTAATTACTTAATTGAGTAGGCCACTACTTAATTGAGTAAGGGAGTAAGCTACTAGGGTAAGTTAATGTAAGTTCACTTCTAGGTAGGATGCAGGATAGCGCTCGCACTAGTCACTAATGATTTGGTTCATAGATTCTTAGGGAAGCCAAAAAACCATTCGGCCATGTCACTGAGTCTGAACCATTTCCTGCTCGGCAATGGC